TAAGCATTCAGAAAGGTTTTCATTTCCATCTACAACCCAGAAAACACTGCGGTCTGTCTGTCATATAGAAACCCCAAATTGATCACTGTCTTTAATATAATGGAAAGAACAAGAGTAGTTTACCAATGCAAGGTAGGCCTTGGCGACTGTCCGATTCTTGAAACACTTGTATACACTGCCAGCTGCCTCTCTGTTCAGGGCCACGCAAAGGGCCCCACTGGTGGAGAAATCCAGTTGGTGGCAAAACCTAAATCAAAAAATATCCAAGAGGTATTTTCATATGTAAACTCAATTAAAAATATTTGTAAACCCTTATTTATAATATAGAGTTATACGTGCCCTGGCCGAGGTCTAAAAGACTGTCCATTTCTGGTTTAGAGCCAAGGTATTTGAAGGACTGCGCTTCTTAGTGGGATTACAGCTGTGGCTTTTTTGGAGTGGCACCATATTGCTGCCTCTCTTTCAGAAGCAAATAGCAACTTACCTGAAATTGTGGTAAAAAATTAAAACACAACCAAATCCAATCCGGAGAGGGCAAAACTAGTAACATCAGAAAAATATAAAGTGGGCAGCGTAACAACAATTGGAGTATTGCTCCCAAAGGTCATTTAAAACAAACTGTATATGCTTTGAGAAGCCAGCAGTACAATCCTCAGCAGGAGCATCAAGCAGCTACAGAGAAGACCCTGCTCCTGTTCAACTCAAGGATTGCTCCAAACAGGAAGTGCTTCAATAGACAAATAAAGGAAGTAAAGGTAACATTCCCAAATGTAGCAGCATTTGAACTAAGCATCAGTGCTGGACTGGTTACCCTCTCTTAGCAGAGGTGAATAAAGAAGGGACTTGAGGTCTCTTCATGATCAGGATCAACCACCCTGCCTCTCAGAGACCTAACCACTTACCGGAAGCCATAGTAAGTGCCTGGATCAGCAAGTTCTGGAAATCGGTATTTCAACTGACTCTGCAGAGTCAGCTTTTCATACCACATCTTGCTGTCGATGCGGACATCCCAGTGCTTGTTGACCACGATGAAGTCCGCACTTTGGTACAAGATCGACAGATTGTCAATACTCACAGGCTCCATAGCAGCAAACCCTTTGGAGAGCAAAAAAGGAGGCTCTGAGCTTCCAGACCTGTTATACTCTATTTCAGGAGAGGTGTGACAAATACAATTAACACCATGAAAGGAATATAGCATCCTCTAACCCAGGGGTTTTTCTGGCTATCCCAGAAATGTTTAGGACACTGTTAAGGTTTTCCAGTGGGAATGGGAAATCACTCTGCACATGTCCCTTAACTCAGTAAAGGAGCAGCAAAGCACAAAACCAAAGTCATATGAATGGCTACTGAAGTTCAATGATAAAGAGAGTTCTTCCACCAACAAAGTTAAAAACTGTATGAGTAAATGGATGCAGAATTTGGATGTACAGTAGTAATAGTTATGCAAAATGGGAATTTCAATGGAAGAAGACTATTCCATTTACACCAAATATCATACTTAGAGAAAACTGGTATAAGTTTTCTCTTAACATCCCTCTTAACATTCTACAAGTCCCTCAAGACCCAGCTATGTGATCAGGCCTGGAGGTTTCTGGGAACCAGGGAGATTTTTGCAAAGGTTCTCTTACTATAGTTAACATCATCTTCTCCTATTTTGTGTGTATAGTTTTTTGTAGTTTTAATTATTGTTTTATGTGTGTTTATTGGTTCTTTTTAATTGAGTGTTATACACCGCCCAGAGAAGCTGGCAGGAAGTTGCAAGCCCCAGGCAGGCTGGCAGGCAGGCAAGTGGCTGCTGCTGAGTGGGAGAGGGAATGGGGGAGTGCAAGGGAGTGCAGGGGAGGGTCAGGAGGGTGTGCGAGCATGTGAAGGGGTTGCCAAGAGCCATTGTGCAGGTTGGGGAGGATGCACGGCAGTGTCCGAGAGGTGCTGCAGGGGTCGGGGAGGGTGTGCAGTGGTGCATGAGACACCACACAGGTCAGGGAGGGTGCACAAGGCTGCACAAGTGGCCGGCGTGGTGCAAGCACCGAGGGGCTGGGGAACGGTGCACGGGTGGGAGAGACTTACCCAGCAACCTGCGAACTTCCCTGCCAGCTTTGACATAGAATTTAATTCAATTTGAAAATCATTTTTACATTATAATTTTATACACAAATTTGTTTTACATCCAACATTTGGGTTTCTCCTATAAAGTCTACATATTTCAGTTTTAATTAGAATAGTAGTATGGACATAATTTATTAGTTCACAAGTAAATTTTATAATGCATACTGTGCTGACTACTTTTCCTGATTTTATATTCTACTTAGAATGTAATAGTGATTTTCAAGTTTTTAAAAATATATTTACAATCAATCAATATTGAGCATTTTTAATTTCTGTGATACTTGAAAACACCTTTATTCCCTTGTATTCTACTCTTTTACTCCTTATTTTTTCTTTTATTACAAGTTTCTTCTTAAAATATTCAATAAAAAGAGATTAAAAAGAAGAGAGTACTTTTAGTCTCCTCTGCTTTGAACTCATTAGTTTCCTTGGCCTTTGCCTGCAAGATAGGAACAATAGTACTGATTTACAGCACAGAACTGTCATACAGGACTTCTGGGTGAGGAATGGCAAGCTAACAGTGTCCAGACATCTCTGCAGCCACAACTGAAGGACCGGCCCCACAGAACCTCTCCAGAAAAGGAGAGGACAGGAGATTACCCAATTGTGCTCCAGACAACTGCTCCTTGCAAGGAGACTGGGCAGCAATTTCCTGTGGGTTTGAGCTGTGGGAGATGAAAGGAAGCCATCAACCTGAAAGGAAGCCATCAACTTCTCAGTTACAGCGCAGCCTTTTTAAGGACACTGGGTTCATTAACCTCACTTTCGAATCATTTTCAGAAATTAACTATTTAACTATCTTAAGGCTAATAGAGATCTTCAAAACAAGAAGTTTGCAAAGCCACCTGGTGAATTTACCTTCACTCCAGAATAAAAAAAATTATTAACTACAAGCTTAAGAATTTAAAGAATTTGAAATAAATGACAAAAAGCTAAATAAGATCTTAAGAAAGTTATAAACAAATTAAGGGACCAGACAAATTTGGAATATTAGGACTTTTGTTATAAGATTTAAGAGCCTGATGCTCTTTGTCCTGCATTAAGACTTGCACGTGGAAATGATCCACTCACAGTGGAATTCTGTACGTGCTTATCTGGGGATAAGTCATTCTAAGCACAACCGAAAGGACAGAATGCGAAAGCATCTCAGAGGCCATCTAGTCCCATCAGTCTCTGTTGACCACTTCACACGGCAGCTTGTTTCACGGTTGAGGGATCTTATCGCCAGGAAATCCCTCCTAATATCTTATGCAGCACATGAAGCCATAAATATGACGGGTTTGGTTTGGGTTTATTTCTTACAAAATGCATATCCTGCTCTCGTTCACAAGACTCGGGAAGATTCAGTGGGTTGTGCGAACCCAGTTGCTGTAATTTTAGAGTTGCGGTTTAGGGCAGAAGCGGCAGCCTGAGGCCACGGGGCCGCACGGCTTTTTGCCCGTCGTACCTGTGAAAACCAACAGCGCAAAACCCCGTCGCCTGACCCGCAACACGCATCAGACCCGTGAAAGCCATGCCGTTCTCCCGCTGCCCAACAAGGAAAAGCCCGCATCCTGGCCCAGCCTGCGTGGGAGGCAAG